GAGCACATCTAAGGCAAATAAATTAGGCGTTAATATTGAAATAATTAAAAGAACTGCTGGGTGGTCTGATTCATCATCCGCTTTCGCTCAATTTTATAATAAAGATATCATAAACAACAATTGTTTTGCTGAATCAATCCTTGATTCATGTAATAATGATACTCAATAAGTAGATTATTTAATATTTGTATTCTTCGATCAATAAATGATTATTATGTGATTATAATTAGTCTGTTTCTTGAGTAACACCCTAATTTTAAGGTTGTTTATTTTATAATCTCTGCTATAAACATCCTACACCTTGTTGAACCAAAATCGCAAAGAATGAAGCTGCGAAACATAATTGAAGATCAAACGAACTTACCAAGTGAAGTTCGATCATAATTATGTGAGCAGCTTCATTCGAAGCGATTTATAAACACCCGCCCTTAACCCTACCCAATAACAGATTATAAAATAAATAATTATCTTTGTCTTTAAACAGAATGACGAACATGAAAGTCTGAGCGTCCCTCTATGAGTATGGAGGGGGTAGTGTTGCCAGTAATTTGACAATGAAATTGTTAATAATAAATTAATTTTTAAAATTAATTAAATAAAAAACTTTTAACTTATCGTGCGAGGCTTACAGTAGATGGCGCTACTACACCTTGTTGAACCAAAATCGCTTCGAATGAAGCTGCTCACATAATTATGATCGAACTTCACTTGGTAAGTTCGTTTGATCTTCAATTTTTTTGTGAACCAATGAACATAAAAAAAAAAATAATAGAATTTTTAAGATTGCAATAACTCTACTTTTCTATCTTACACTATAACTTATATAAAGTACTAGTGAAAATACTAATTTCAAAAGGATATAGCAAAAAAAAAACATGTTGATTTTTCTTTTCTTTATTACAACTCTAATGAATACCTCATCACGGAATGCTGCAGGAGCAGCTACATTCTGTTATGTATGAGCACAGCATCCCATTGTAAATCGACCAATAAGACAATTACAGCAGTGTTCCCATATACCTAACCCGGATGTGTCATTATTCTTAAAAATGGACACATAATATTGTTTCCTCCCAATGTCTCGACTTAATTGTACCCCTTATAATTAGGACTTTATTTACATTTAAGTCTAATTCTAATAAATCCAGAAAATCCGGTATTTCTCTCCAGACCTCAATTCTATACTGCCCATGGAACCTACTATGCTCCCCATAATACAGAAGATAATACAAAAATCACCGCCAAAGTTACAAAACGGTCTGCGTAGAAACACGTCTACACATAGGTAGGTACTTGTCTAAAAAAGGGAGGTCGCAATCGATTGAATACTGTAATATCGATTCTTATGAATAATCATTTGTTTTTAATTTTATTATAAATAAACTATTTTTCTCTAAGTAACATCTAATTATATTAGTAATCTAATCTTAGTTTTATAATTTTTACGGATTTATATGTTAGTAAATAATATAAGATTTGAATCAAAATCGATTAGTCAGAAATAAAATCGATCTTGTTCTTTGAAAAGAGATGGACTTCTCTAGGAATGACATTATTATTAAGATGCGTTCAAAAATAACATAATTTAAACTGCGTTCTAAAAAATAAAGACATATTTTAGAGAGGATTATCTTTCTTTTCCCAGCTTTTAAAAATAAATTGTTGGTATATAATAATTACATTCAACTTATACTACATTTTGGTGATAGTTCCATCTTGGTACAAGAACTTTTTTTTTCGTAGTCCATTTTGACCATTGTTCTTTCAATAATTGAGTCGATAAAAAATTAACACAAAGATGACTAAATAGGTTTTTTGGATCGATTTTACTACTAATATATGTTAACTTAGTTAAATAAAAAATATATACAAAAATCATAACATTTCTCTGCCTTTTTTTGTTTTTTTTTCTGAGATTAAATTGTATTAAATCAAGCGAGCGTATCTTTAGTCTCGATGCGTTTTTGTTTGCATATTTGTATGGAAACATAAGCGAAGACACAAGAGCGCCTTAATATGCATATCCCCTGCGTTGCCAAAAGAATGTATCATTTATGACTTCAGACATTATATTCCTGTACCATTCGATCTGTCTGAACGTGGAATATAAAACTTGACCGCTTGGCTCGTACATTCTTCTATCTTATATTAGTAATTCTTTCGTCTGCTTTTCTAATGTCCAACGAAGCATAAATTAAAAAAAAAAAAACATCTCATCGCTTTAGCTTTTCTCCGCCGCGTTTAAAATTATACTAGAATATTCCAAGTCAGTTAAGTGTGGCTGAATTGTGCTCCGCATAAATTATAACCATTAACATCTCGGGACCAGAAGCCACTTGATATTTAAGGTAAGTAAATAAAGTAATGATCCTTGGAAATTCAAATCACTCGCTTGTTTGTAACAATTGAAATGAATATGCAATAATATTGGATACTAAACAAACCTTGGGTTACAAAACCTTGAGTGTGGGGATTGTATTTGCGTATTATTTATGTAGGTAGGTCGTAAATTAACGTAAACTTTCCTTAATAAATAACTTACATTTTATTGAGTCAGTGGTTGTTGGCAATAACACTGTTGCGCAGGCTAGTCGAAATTTAGGTTTAGACCTGTCAAAATTATATTTTAGCATACAGGAGTGTGACTATATTTCTCTTATTAATTACATTATGATTATAGAATATTGTTAAAACAACTCCAAATTGAAGTTAGATTTTTTTATTTACGTTATATTGATGCTAATACTGTTGTACTACTGTTAAAACGAATTTTAATTTAGGTTTCTTTTAACCATAATCTTTTTCTTTTAATAATGGCTTATCTACAAGTTTCGCACAATTCTACCAATGTCAGGTGAATAAATTAATTTCTACATGTAAACTGAAAAAAAGAAGAATGAAAGATGGCCTTAACCATAATCAGATGTATGCAAAGAAATATAAATATACTCCTGTATACTTTAATGAGAATGCTGCTATTATCATTATTATTTAAAGAGATAAAAACGTAAGTTTCCAGTATCAAAATGATTAAAACTAAATTAAGACACAAAATTCAGTCTAGTCTAGTCTTTGTGGCAGAATTACCACTGATGTATCAATAAATTTATCAACCGGTGAACAACGGTGCTATACTAAAATATTATAAAAACAGCCTTGAAATAATCGTCGAAAGCAGCGCTAGTTTAGCATAGAGAATCAATCAAATAAAAACTACTTCAGAAATTAATAAAGATTTTACTTCAAAATTTCTAAAAATGTATTAAGTTAAGACTTTTAAACAGCGTTTAATATTTTGTTGAATAGGCAATATTGAATATAAATGAATTAATTATCCCATCTCATGGCCCATCCTCCTTAACCATCCATAAGGAAGGCCTGAGCCCCTGCAGTGGGGACGTAAAAGGGTTGGTGATGATCCCATCTCAGAGTACCAAAGACAAAATATTTTTCATTGTGAACATTTATATGAGACTATTCAATGCTGTTTCATTTATCATCTCAAAAAAAATAATGGTAATGGTACAAGAATGGAATAAAGCACATGCAAAAATCGAGAACTCCAGTCAGCTAATTCAGTTTACCTTGTATAAATTATAATAATTTATCAATCAAGGTACCTAACCCTTGAACCATATTGAGAGTGGTATTGGCTTCTAAACTTTACGAGGCTATTCCGTTTCTCAATCAAGTCGACACTCCAAATGATAAGTGATTTTGTGATTTATGTATTGTTAGTGGTCACCTGATTAAAAACGGTTTGATTGAGGTATTTGTTCCTCTTATTATCATTCTCTATGATTATTTTGACATTCAGTAAACAAAAGAAGAATAAAACGCCTGGTAGTATATGTTATTTTTAGGACTAGGTTTTCAATAATGTATTTCAACATATTATGAAACGCTTTTTGGAATGTGTAACTTTTATTTTTCAAATTTTAGAAACAACTTTTATTTCTTTCACAAATTGTTTTAATGATTTTTATTTAATATCTGAAAACTCGAGTTGCAGTTCGAGTTACAACCTTTTTAATAAGTTTAGTTATATGACCTCATCGCTCTCTTACCATTTTACCATCTCGCCAATCTAGACGCACGGGGGATACCGTCCTCATTTGGTAGATATTCCTAGAATCCGCACAAAACGTTATTCGTCATCATTTTTACTGCGCACTGCCGAGGAATTGAATTCCCTACCGGCATTTATATTCCTGAGAGTTAATAACACAGACCTATTTAAAACAGGAGCGAATAGGTTCCTTCTGGGCAAGCTATTCCCACCGTAGATCTCATTCATGTCCTAAGACTGGATTGAGATGAAAAGTTAACCCATTAGAAATAAAAATAAAAAAAAAACCTTTTCATATTAACACGGATCGTGGTGCAGGAGTCCGACGCACATTTAACTAGCTTATCTTTCATACAATATAGATATACAACATTTGATTTGTTTTTACCACACGCACATATAAATTATCATTAAATCTGTTTCATTATCTGTAAATTATCTGTTTAAGATTTGTTGATATTTACATAAGTAGCAAATTAATTGATAATCATTATTGAAACTAACTAAATTAAGGCAGCACTCAATAAAATAAAATAAAACTATTGATTGATCCCTTCGACTTCTATACAAATATCTTGAATAAAATAATTATTGTTTTGCAATTTCTAAGTATATATAAATAGAATATATTAAATTTACAGGAAAGCAAAAAACGTGGTTTTGTTTACTCCGATGGCATACTGATCTATAAATAAACAGTATTTGAAAGAACCCTATTTGCATTTGAATAAAAAAGAAATGAGGTCGCTAAAATCAGTGAACATATATAAAACACATACATAGAACCTCTTCTGTTTTCATTTTGGAGTCTGTTAACAAACTGTACACAATCATTTTTCTGTATTACCTCTATATTAATAAAACACTACCAAAATGGTCACAGCAGTTAAAGAATGGTAAAAATACTGTTTGGGTTATTAAAAAAACTGTTAATAAATAAACGTATAATTTATCATTCGCTTTCAGATTAGTTGAACAATTAATCACACCATTAGTATCACAATCACTTATTACGTAAATGCACAATCAGATTATCAACAAATCAAATCAGTAACTTGTTTTGCCAAAGATGAAATTGCCAGGGGCGTTCACGTCTTCGGATGCGAAGTACTCATTCCATAGTTTCTCGAACTCTTCCCAATTGACCTTGTCCTTGCCTTGAGCCATCTTTCCGAAGGCAGCAGTCGCCTCCACTTTATCCAAGCCTAAAGAAGCATAAACAGAAGAGAATTCCTCACTATCAATAGCCCCATCGTTGCTAGAGTCTTCAAGCTGGAAGATGCATTTGGCATACAGTCTCTGCCAATCTGCAGCTTTAGCGGGATTCTTCGAGAAATTATCCCACATTGAGATCCATTCGTCTAATGTCACCTGTCCATCCTTGTCAGCGTCGGCACTACTTTGGATACCTTCCCATACAGCCATCAACGTTTCCTGGAGTAGTTTGTATGTAACATCACCTTCTTTCCATCCTCTCAATTTTGCGGTCTTCTCGATAGCTAATACGAAATCCTTCTTGTCAATGCTACCGCTCTTGTTGGTGTCAAAGAAAGCCGTGAAGACATGTACGAGTTTCTTCTTTCTGAAATCGGACACCATTTTGTATAATTTTTAGAGCGAATGGTTTGCAAAACCGTTTGTCTAGCTTTATATAGTGTAAGAGTGCGTTCATTGATAAGTTTATCAACACCCAATGGATCTTGGTTGACGTGGCCTCCTATCAGCTGCATTGCGGCTTGTTGACGTCGGTGATTTCACTGTTTGAGTTTTAATATCTTTGTGTTTAATACTTAACCATACATTGAATAATACAGAGCATTTTTTTGACTTGATGCATGTTGTTGGCAAGTACGTATCTATATACTGATAATAAATCTGAATAGTGTTATTAATAAACAAAGTTTAGAGTTAGAGTAAATTTACGCTGACACTGCACTTAGTATTAGACAAATTCATATTATTAAACAGAGACTTAACAAAGGTTAACCTAGTACGAGGTTCTATGGGAGTCATATTTGCTCCTAGAAAGTAGTTGGTTTGTTTATTCTCTGTATAATATGAATTTGGAGTAATACTAAAAATGCAATTTTAGCGTAAATTTACTCTAACGCCAAACCTTGTTTATTAATAGCAGTGTAGGACTCTATTTGTTTGTTTAAACTCTATAATCTCCGGAACTACTGGAACGAATTGAATTATTGCTTTGTGTTGAATAGTTCACTTATCGAGGAAGGCTATAGGCTATATAACGTCACACTATGACTTATAAGAGTCGAGCAGCAATGAAAATTGTTACAAAAACTGGAAAATATATTACTTTTTTAAAGCTTTCCACGCGTGCGCTGCGTAAACAGTTACGCAAAAATCATATATTACGAAATTGATACTCTTAAAATTTTTAAAAAAGTCCGCGTCAGCATGTCTATCTTATATCTTATCCTAATAAAAAGCACATAAGCGGATGAAAATGGGAGGGTAAGTTCGTATTAAATCGTTTCCATAGTAACCATTGCTTAGAATTCCATCTTTTTCCAAATCCATTATTAAATGATTTAAGCTGTTTACGCAGGATCAATTAATGTTTGGAATAATTTTAATCGGTACAATCTTTGTCGCTAATATTAACTGCATATGTTATATTGGTTAAGAACACGAAAATGTTACATTCAATCCTATTCTAGCCCCTACTGAGCACTAGATGACGCTACTGTGCTTTTAAAACGTCATTTTGAATTTTAATATGTTTGTAGTCTTTATTTTTAATCGAACAAGTAGCTTTCATTTTTAATTTTACAGTATTTCCAATAACATAATTTAATGGAGAATTGTTAATCTGGCAAAATAATAAAATGCTACAATTAGCTGTTTTCGCTAGATGACGCTACTTTTTAAAACTGGTGTAAACTTAGTTTGAGTTAGAACTGTATGTAACAAAAAAGATATTTGTAATTTTAACACAAGATATCTTAATAAATTATATTTACTATTTCTTAGAACCGACTATTATAAGAAAAACTCGTATGTGATATCTATAAAGATATTTTATAATAACATATCCGATGAACTAAAATTGTTGCCACAAAAATTATAAAAAAATCACGTTTTAAAACATGGTTACCTATTTGCTAATTGCTTTCATTCAGTAAATGAGTTTTTAAATAAAAGATATTATTTAACACTAGAAAGACGGGGAAATTCATCTACCTACAAAGACGGCGACCGGTCAAATGACTGCCCCAATTTATTTAATTTTTTTTTATTATTTATTTGCTAAAATTAGTAACTATAGTAATGAAACAGAGTATAATATATAATTATTTATTTAATTCACATACAATTTTTACATTTTAAGATTTTATTTACGTTACAAGGGCCGCAAAGTGGCTTTTTGCAAGAGTCGCATAATTTATTTGTTTTATTTTTGCACTTTTGCATATAGCATTCTCGCCTTTTTCGACTTTCCGGATTTTGAAGTGTAGATCGAGAAGTAGAAGGTGTTGGTTCTGTAATAGTATGAAAATAATTAAATAACAAATTAAACTTTTTATTTTACACAGTGAAACTAAAAGTGGGTCACATCAAATGCTGACATTTAATAATTATAATTTAGGTGTAATTGTGTTAAGTATATGTGTGCGTGTATTAGTATAATGTTGATGACTATATAAATATGGAAATTGATTTGTAATTGGCTCTCTTTTAATAAACCAACGTCAACCTAACAATGTGTTTGGATTTCACCTATAATTAGCAAGCAAGATACCTCATGGCGACCCTGCAAACAACTGGAACTTAGTAAGAAGAAAAATTTGAAGATAGAAGATTTTCATTAGAAAACTATCTAGAAGAACTCGAAGACAAATTATCGAAAACCTAAAAAAAAAAAAAAAAAAATGAAGAATATCCTGATAGCAGTCGCAGCAGTTATTATCATATTTTTGGCAGTGCTCCTATATGTGGTTCATCTTTCCAACCTTCATTATTAGAATAAAACATCAACCTAGAACAATGTGTCGCAGCTCTCAATCGAAAGAAGAAATTATCATCGCCCAGAATGCAGGTGGAAACGCTCAAGTAGCCGAAAACAAACTCAACCTAACCGAAATATTACTCATCTCGTTATTTGTCATATTATTCGCTGCCACCGCTTACTTCATATACAAGAAGTGCAGACAGAATGCTGTAAGAGCTTTGAGAAGGGAACTTCACCACAATACTCTAGAAATGCAACCGAAACCTTCACAAGCTAATTAAGAAGACAAGAAGAGGTGTCCAGGGTTATCCCGGCCCACATCAAGAGGAGTCCAGGGTTATCCCGGCCCAGCTCGAGGTGTCCAGGGTTATCCCGGCACGCGTCAAACTTCAGGAAGACTGCAGAGCCTCAGCGCAACAGCTCCGGAAACAGCCACGTGCCAGCAATCGATGGAAACGTGACCGCGACGCATCCTGTCCGCCGATCGCGCTGATGTAGCCGTCGCGACCGCCCTACTGTACCACACGTTTCACGTAAATTGAGCAAATACAAGTAGGTGTTTTTATACATATTTTTATAATTATGTTTTTTTAATTAGGTAGAAAAAATTAAGTGGATTATATTTATTATGATAAATAGTAATGTCTCATAAGCTAATCGAATTATATAGTAAGTTACAAGAAATAAAATTATATTTAACTAAAATAGGCCCTGAACGAAGAAAGAAAGAAATCGGTCAAACGAAGTTAAAAGAAGCTAATGTAATTTATTTACAGCTCGAGTATATTTTGTCTGATATTAAGTCTAATATTGACAATTCTGAGATAAGTACCGAAGATCTTATAAAAGTAAATTCGATAGTGAATAATATACATATAATTTTTAGTGAAATAAATAAATTAGTAATTTTTTCTAGTAGAAATTTCGATAGTTCTTACACAGAGAAAATGGCAGAAACAATTTCTTTCGACTTTAAGACCGCTATTAGTTTACTCCCGATAATGACTGGTCAGGAACATGTCACCAAACAACTAATTGACGGTATAGATATGTATAATTCTAAGCTTAATGACGGATCAAAAATTTCGTTAATTGATTTCGTCCTAAAAACAAGATTGTCGTCCAGTGCAAAGCTTCGCTTACGCGATACATATACTACTGTAGACGCGTTGCTTAGTGACATGAGAAAATATCTACTACAAAAAAAATCTGCAGTAGCTCTTCAATCACGTTTACAGAATGTGAAACAGGGACATAGGTCAATAGAGGCGTTTGGTAACGAATTAGAAGATCTTTTCTCCAATTTAACTTTAGCACAGGCAGACGGAGATAGCTCCAAATACAATGTGTTAAGATCGATAAATGAAAAGGTAGCTATAAAACGATTTGCAGATGGGTTAGCAAACTCCAGACTGAGTATCATTATTGCATCAAAAGAATTTGATTCTCTCCCTGAAGCGATACGTACTGCTTTGGATGAGCAAACACTCTCAAGTAGTAACGAGCAGGTCATGAATTTTCGACATAACTCCAGAAAGGTTTCGAGACCTTTCTCTAGAAATAATAACGTGTTTCGCGATAGAAACATTAATTATAACAATTATAACTCGCGCATGCGATATGGTAATAGGATCCAATCGCATAATGACACTGCGCCGCGCACGTTCGCGCCGGCGCCACCGCAACATAATTCCGGCCGCGACCGAAGTTCATCCTTCCCGGCTAAACGCTGGTCTGCGCCACGCGTTCGTTCTCAGACACACTCGCGAGGCTATCCCCGTGTCCATCATACATATTATGACACGTCGATAAATCAAACCGAAACTCCTAGCACCAGTGGGAGTCAGTTTTTTCGTTCCTCAAACGAAAAATGAACACTTAGTTTTAAACTATAATACGACTAGTACGGTATCATTTAGCATTAACAATAGGTTAGTAAATTTATTAATAGATACTGGTGCCAGTTTATGTGTAATTAAATACGAATGGTTAGTTCGAGTAATAAGCGATTTAAATAATAAAATTATTCCTGAAAAATTAACTATTAGAGGCGTTAGTGGTAGGTTAGTGTCAGAAGGATACATTTATTTAGAATTAACTAGTAACGGGTTGACATTTAGACATAGATTTTATATATTTAGGAATCTGTCTTGCTCAGCAGACGGAATTATAGGTGATAACTTTTTAAAACGATATTTAGCATTAATTGACTATAGTAAAAGCATTATAAGTTTAACTCATTTAAATAAGACCGTAAGTTTATCAATAAATAACGGGTATAAACATATGATCCCCGCGAGGTGTGAAACTATTAAGTACATACCTACTAACATAAATGACGATTGCGTTGTACTCGCGAATGAAATAAGAGACGGAGTGTTTATTGCAGGTGTTATATCAAAACCTAAGAATGGTTGTATTCCAATTAGAATACTTAATACGACAGAAAATGATTTAGTATATGATTTTTCCAAGTTAGAAGTACATAACTTGCATCATTTTGACGTTTGTAAATTTTCGGAATGTGATAATTCAGTTAATCGTATAAAGACATTGTTTGAACTTCTCGATTTACGCTATTTGAACAAAGACGAGCAACTTAGCATTGAGTGTATATGCGCTAAGTATGCGGATGTTTTTCATCTTCCC